AAAAGAATTGCGCGGTTGGCCGGTAGACTACAGATCTCTATCATAGGACAAATTTATATAGTTTCTACCGTATATCGTTTATATCGCACATTCCTAGTAGTTGGTAGTATGTTTGGTTGTGTAGTTGGTAGTATGTTTGGTTGTGTAGTTGGTTGTGTGGTGGAGGTATGTTTGGTTGTGTAGTTGGTTGTGTGGTTGGTGGTATGTTTGGTTGTGTAGTTGGTGGTATGTTTGGTTTTGTAGTTGGTAGTATGTTTGGTTGTGTAGTTGGTTGTGTGGTGGAGGTTTGTTTGGTTGTGTAGTTGGTTGTGTGGTGGAGGTATGTTTGGTTGTGTAGTTGGTTGTTTGGTTGGTGTTATGCATGGTTGTGTAGTTGATTGTGTGGTTGGTGGTATGTTTGGCTGTCTAGTTGGTTGTGTGGTTGGTGGTATGTTTGGTTGTGTAGTTGGTTGTATGCTTGATTGTATAGTTAGCTGTGTAGTTGGTAGTATGTTTGGTGTATGCTCTGTTGTGTAGTTGGTTGTGTGGTTGGTGGTATATTTGGTTGTGTAGTTGGTAGTATGCTTGATTGTGTAGTTGGTAGTATGTTTGGTGGTATGCTCTGTTGTGAAGTTGGTTGTGTGTTTGGTGGTATGTTTGGGTGTGTAGTTGGTTGTGTGTTTGGTGGTATGCTTGGTTGTGTAGTTGGTTGTGTGTTTGGTCGAATGCTTGGTTGTGTAGTTGGTTGTATGGTGGAGGTATGTTTGATTGTGTAGTTGGTTGTGTGGTTGGTTTTATGCTTGGTTGTGTAGTTGGTTGTGTGTTTTGTGGTATGTTTGGTTGTGTAGTCGGTTGTGTGTTTGGTGGTATGCTTGGTTGTGTAGTTGGTTGTGTGTTTGGTGGTATGCTTGGTTGTGTAGTCGGTTGTGTGTTTGGTCTGAACCTGCCAACAGAGTTGTTTGTGTTTTTCTGTATTCATGAATCATTAATGGAGGCCAGTACTGGTCTTTGGGTTGAGCTGCACCACATCGTTTCACTCAGGTTCAGTTCTCACTGCAGCCACACCTGATTCATTAATTCTGTTTAATTAGATGCAGTTGTGAGTCCTTCTGCTTTCTTAGAAATAATATACTCAGTTTGACAGCAGCAGGTTCTCACTCAAAACAAGCATCTGTGCTATATTTCTGCTGCATGCTGTTTTGCCTTTCTTGCTCTTGGCGCCATCAGTTTAGATGGAAGAGGTGGGTACTGCAGCACACAGCTGACACACTTACTAACATCTGAGGTACATTTGAAGGGGTTGGTGGAGCTTAGGGGACAGATAAAAAAGGACCAAATTTACACCATAGACTGAGCGGACAATGAAGGCTTAAACAACTCTGTTTGCGCCTCAACTCTGTGTGTGTGTGTGTGTGTGTGTTTTCAGACAGTTTGTGCTCTCTGTTTCAGTGAACCCTTCATAACTTGCTTGTCGTTGTTCCTGTAGAGGTGTGGAATCCCACCGCTGCTTCTTCATTTGTTCTGGAGCCTCTTAAACTAGTTTGGGCTAAATGTAGTGGATATCCCTCCTTCCCTGCCCTGGTGAGTGAGTGTCAGTCCTTTCCATATCTCATCTCCCATCTGTCCCTTTACCATTCTCCATGCTTGTGATTTGTGCCGTAGCCTGGCCTGGGTGCTTTATTAGTGGCTGTGTGTAGCTGCTCAAATCGCTGAGTGCTTCATGCTCGACTCGGCCTTGCATGTTCGTGTCTCTAAGTGGGGACTTCTTGGTACGGGCGACCCAGTTTTTAGCTGCAAAATGGCCATCTCATTCGGTGCCCGTCCTCTCTTGTTATCGTGGTCTTCGTACAGATCATGGACCCCCGAGCCCGGAGGACCTCGTTTCGACACAGAGGGGTGGAGCTTCCCAAGCCGCCGCTGGACGTTCTCAGAGCCGGAGAGCAGATGCAGTTCAGGTCCGCAGAGAAACTATTCCTCGTCCGCTTCTTCGACAGCAAGCGCAGCTGGTGAGGAACTCGACCACTTTTAAAAGTGTTGCTGAAACAAAAAGAAAACAGGATTCATCTATTTGTTTACCAGAGACAAATTAGATAACGGGCAGATTATGAGACAGTGATCTATGGATTAGATCACAGGTCAGAGCTGCTAATATCAAATTATCATTTGTGATTTTGTTATTGTTAAACTTTAATGACTAAATAACATAATGAACACTAGGGCTGCAACGATTATCAACATTATTATTAAAAATTAGTTGACACAGCCTTTTAATGTTGATACATTGTATTATTTACTCACTAAATATTCATTTGTAACTAATGCAAAACATGAACTGCTGGGATCAGACTCACTTTTATCATCTGTGGTTGCTTTGTTTATTACTGAAGATGTGCCAGTCTGCAAACCACAGAAAAAGGTGCAGCAGGAACATCAGAGAGCTATAATAATGGTGGAACAGAAAGACGATTGTATCAAGGAGGAGAAAAAAAGACTAAAACTTTCAAAGATGGTTACATTTTAATAAAAAATCAACCAAAGAAATTAAAATACAGACTCAATCATTCCATATCAGAACAGCAGCAGTGAAAACATGATCAATGCTAACACGCTGCAGCTGTGATTATCCTCTCCACATGGGTAAGTTTCAGAAAGTTAGCTTATTCATCAGTTTGATGTTTTATAGAGCATATCTTCTGATATACTGAGCCACTGATCACTTCGTGCTGTAGCAAACTGTCAAAGTTTTGTTAGTTTACCAACAAACGGTGTATTAAAGGTGGCCACTATCAGTTATGCTGATGTTATACAAGCATTAAAGGGGACTTTTAATGCAAAATTCACTTTTTTACATGTTTAAATGCTTCAGTTTGGGTCTGCACTGCTTCCAGAAACAGTCCAAGAGCCAAAAAATACTCAGTAAATGTTTTGTTAGTGTCAGCAAATGAGCTGTTTCAAAAACCTGCAGATTGTTACATCACAATCCTGGTGACCTAGCAACGTGCAAGAGAGCCCAGCCCCTCACCTGGTAACCCAAGCCGAGACCCCGCCCACTGCTTCACAGGACAACCACGTTTGTTTTTTTAACAACAGTCACGAAGAACAGAGATGTGTGGCCTCATTTTTTTATGGCTTTGTCCCTGTGATGTTGCCAAAGAAAGTTGTTGTTTGTGCAAATAATTTCACAATGGACTTTGACTAGCACACAACAGGATTTGCCCAAGGACTTTTAACTGAAGGAAACTTCTGTCTCTGCTGTTCCTCACAAATCTGCAGATGATGGTGATGTAAGTCATGTCTTGTCAGAATCATCTTTATTATCATTCACACACAACATCAGAGATACAATGCAGAACGAAATTGCAGTTAAGAACACCCGTTCAAGAGAAAGACACACATAACAAACATGGGGGAACGGATGAACGGGCGCGCTACCTTTTGCAGCTTGGAAAACCACAATAGGATAGGCGAGTTAAAAAAAAGTTGCTCTGATCCTATATTTACTCATAAACACAGAATCGTGCACAAACAATGACTCACTAGAGCAAGACAGCTGGGATGGGGGGGGGGGGGTGTTAGTATTGCTTTGTGACACTTACATGATTTGTCATTTATCACAAAGTAATTTTGAACAATAGCGCATGGCCGTGATCGATGACTGAAGCTGAAAACATACTCCCTGCGAACTGCCGACGTCGGCACKGGTTGTCGCAGTTTAATGATGAAAATTACGTCACCGGGCTTCGCAGCGTCGTGTCGACAGCCTCTTTTGGCACAACCCCCCAGCAGAACTTTTGACCCCCTCCCGTGTCGACGGTAATGTGTGATTGGTCTGAAATTCATGGGCGTGTTTGTTTGTGCTGCGCTCGGCGGGGGGGAAAAAAGAAAAAAAACGACTCACTCCCAGACTAGAAAGCAGAGTTTTATAAGATATAGTCAAACCGTGAAAAACTTACGGCTTGTTTTTTTGTGCTTAATATGCACTGCTGCACTCAGAAAAAAAAAGAGGGGTGGGGACCCCCGACTCGCTCCCAGAGCCGACACCAGGAAGTAGAGTTTTATAAAGATAGTCATTCCGTGAAAAACTCATGAATGGAGATAAAACAGACGTTGAGCACGGAGGAATCTGACTGATAAAAACTGTGGAGCTTTAACCAGGACAGATGTGGACAAATACGTCGGGTGGGTGACGTCTTTTTTTTCTGCAATGATTGTCGGCTGTTGCRGGGGGAAATTCCATGCAGTGACGTATTGTTCAGTGGGAGGGGGGTTTTCCGAGCTCGGAGTGGGGTGTCTCAGTGACCATGAAAAGTCTGTGCGAAAACGACTGCCGATCAACCACGTGACCGCGCGTCGACCCGTCGGCGTCGGAGCGAGTATGTTTCAGGCTTGAGGCTGGCTCCAGGCTGCAGTGACCGAGCCTCACAGCACATCTACTACAGTTGTACCATTGTGCGTCTGCTTGTAGCAGCCATTTTCACGTTTCTGAAGCTAACGTGAACGCTGCGTTGGGAGGACAGAGTTAATGTAAACAAAAGGTTGGGAGGGTGTTGCCAACAGCAGCTCGTTCTGAAGGCAGAACTGAACAGGTGAAGTCTCACTGTCAGAGATTCATTTTGTGGATTAAATCAAAGGAACATGTTTGTATACATGATGTAACCTACTGGAGCTGGAACAGGAGGTGCACCCACAGGAAGCTTAGATGGATGTTTTAAAATAATTGATGACTAATAGAAAAAAAATTATTGCAGATTAGTCAACTTTCAAAATGGTCACTAGCTGCAGCCCTAATAAACCCTGATTTATATTTTTTCATCTTTGAGAAAGAATATGATAAAAAAACTGACATTTAGCATATATGCTAACCTAATATTGAAGATGCCATTGAAATACATGAGTAGCATCATGTTTATCATTGGGATTTCTGTCCATGTGATGGAACTAAAAACAGATTTTATCCCTCAATACTTCTTAAGACCCACAGGTTCATAAATATTTGCAGTTTAAAATTAACTTTAATTACGTCAGAAAAGCTTTTAAAATATAAAGAAGGAGAAAAAGGCAGATTAAATTAAAGCCTCAAAGCCTTGTTTTTTAAAGTTGACTGCATTCCTGAAGTGAAGCAAAAATCTAAGCAGTACGTTTTCTCCCTCTTTAGGCAATGGCTTCCTAGATCCAAGATGGCTCCCTTTGGGATGGACCAGACCTTCGACAGAATGAAACTGATGGAGGCTCGCACTTCTTCCATCAGAAAAGCGGTGCGGCTCGCTTTTGACCGAGCCGTGACCCACCTGAACCAGGAGCCAAGCAGCAGTCTCAGTGTCACAGACTGAGCCCACCCACCCTGCAGACGCACAACACTCACACATTTGTGTTTACCATTTCCTGTGAACTGGAATCGTTTCCACACCTCTTCACACCTGTCTGAGTTACTGTATCTGATAACGGTTGTCCTGTTTGTCAAAGAGCTATGCAATGAAAACAACTCAGTTAGCAGCTGCAAAAAAGTGGAAGCTAAAATAAAAAAAAGCTACTTTTGCTACGAGGACTGAAAACTGCAGGTTAGACCCTGCTGAATGTGTCAGAGGTCCACTTCTGACCACTTTAATGTGCTGCAAGACTGCTGCTCCAGTGTCACTGCCATGTGTGTGTGTGTGTGCTTGAATGTGAGTGTGTGAGTGAGAGACAGCAGCAGCTCATGTAAATATGTCCCACATGGCCTGACACTAACTTATTCACTCCTTCAGTCTGTTTTGGTACACATCATTCTGATCTGTAGATGAGAAGTTGTTGCCGGTGCCTCCGGTGTTCCTGCTGGTGCTATCTCCACAGAGAGAACAACAACAAAAACCATGCATACTGTATTGATCATTTTTAGCTTCTTTTGTACAGTTTTTGTAAGTTATTGAGTTCTCAAGCTTCACGATATATGGCATTAATTTTGTCCCTTTTTTTTTACCTAAATGTTTTTATCGGACTACTTTTTTTGTTTGTTTGTAGATATTTATATAAAATCTATATAGAAGCTCTCAAAGTATAAAAGGTCTAATGTGCATCATTTACCCCAAAAACAACAAAACTCTGCAGCCCACAGGTTTCCCACTAGTGTGTTTTTTATGTTTCAAAGTTTTGGCCTTTTTGTTTGTGTGCAGTGATGAAATGAAATCTTTTATAAAACACGACCATCTTCTCTGTGTGAACTGAACTTGAGTAATAAGAGAAGAGAATGTGCCTGAACTAATTTATTCTGAAGCAGAACATGTATAATCATCACTTTATCAAGGTAGGGTCCTACAGAGACCCTCCTTTCTGTTGCAGGTTTTTATGATTATTTGGGTTGTTAGCATTAAATCTGAGAGGTGATCGTGTTGGATGTTTTACTTTAGCAGGGAAGCAATGGGTGGCCTACCTGTATTTTAATTTGTTTGTTTTTGGCCCTTCTGGTTGTGGATGTTGTGTGTAAATAGATTTGGTACTTTAGCTGATTCTCATAAATACAGTTCTAGCCAATGGGATCAGAAAGCAGCCAGCTGGCTGTAAGGGATTTTTATACTAAAACACTGAAAATTAAAATATGTTATTGAATCACTGAATGCTTTTAATCTCATTTTTTATTTATTTAATGAAATTTATTCATGTAATTTTACCCCCTTAGATTTTTAGTTTAATTGAACTTCTGGAAAAAAACAAACATATTTTTAAGTCATTAAGTTGGGTCAAATGGAGAAAATGTAAGAACAGGTCAATGATGAGAAGTTTGATTCTTTTTATTAATTCAAGTTTAAATGAATCACTGAAAAATAATGTTTTTGAGTTACTGGAGTTTATGTTGTTTTCAGGTGAAACAGTATTTCTGCTGCAGTATATTTGAACATAACCACCCACATCGTTTTCTTTGAAACTGAAGGTTTTTCAATGAAGGAATCCAGAACTGGTGGTGGTCCCTTGGCGACAAATGTGCTTCTCCATTGTTTCCAGAAATATCAAATTTTCCTCCTTTATCATCAGCAGAACGTCAGCATCCATCTTCTGTAACGTTTGCTGCAGTCAGAGCAGTTCTGAAGTCTGAGCATCTCAGAGGATAAATTAGTTTTCAGTGATGAATGATTTGTTTAATAGATTGGACTGAAATAAAGCAAATTGGAAACACACACGAGGAATTATAGAAACTTGTGAATAAACTGGAAATATAGTTATTTTAAACAAATTTATTCAAACTAAAATTCATTTTAGTTTAACCTCTGAACTACTTCATTGACTTAATTGCAAATTCTCACATTAACGTCACTGTCACACTTAAACCAGCTGTTTTATGATCATTTCATGACTGAATGACTTGTAAAGGTTATAGGTGTGAGCTAACAGCATTGCAGCATTTACAGTGGGGAAAATAAGTATTTAGTCAGTCACCAATTGTGCAAGTTCTCCCACTTAAAAAGATGAGAGAGGCCTGTAATTGACATCWTAGGTAGACCTCAACTATGAGAGACAAAATGTGAAAAAAAATTTKRRRAAAWYMWTTT